AACGGTTCGCTGAACGTTCGGTTCGTTTACAGCCCTACTTATTATTAAATTTTATAATGTTTCTTTATATGAGGTATTGTTCGTAAAATAATTAAATAAGATCGTTCGAAAATGTTTTTTTTTTCATCTAATGCTGACATTTAATATATTGATGAACATATATTTGTTTTACAATGTTTTGCTTCATATGTATTATATTCACAATGTGAAACTCTTTTAGGTGTATTTTTTTGTCTCACAAACAGATTAAAAAAGTTCACATTGTATAAATACATGTGAAATAAACAAAATGTAAAACAAATATATGTTAATTAATATTTTAAATTCAGGTCTTAGATGAAAAAAAAAAAAAACACAAGATGCATTAATTCTCAAGGTTGTCACAATTTTATGAATTTAAAAAAAAACCCTAATAAATACTTAAATATTTTTATTAAATTATATGTTAAATCAAATATTACATTTGTATAATAATATAACATAAAGGTATAATTGAAACATCATACATAATCTACACGTAGCTTGTATATAATTGTAATCTATCTGTAATATTACAATTATATATATATATATATATATATATAGAAGTTCAAACGAGAACACCTTTATTTTACGAGAACACTATTTTACTATAGACAATCACATGTGATATTATTATTCCATCACATATGATACACATGTGATACTAAATCAGAGACGCAGACAATTTTTTCGGTGCAATCTTGGTTGTGGGTCAAGTCAACCTTACACCACTAAGGCCCATCACAAGTATTATTACATGTGATAAGATTGTTGTTGATATGATACTATAATCCATTAAGATCATCACATGTGATGCTAAATCATAGACGCAGACAACCTTTCGCACGACCTAAGTTGTAGAACACGTCGTCCGCATATCACAGGGTCCCCTCACGCGTATTATCATATGTGATAAGGGTGTTCTCGTGTCCTCGTAAAATAAAGTTGTTCTCGTTTGAACATCCACACACACACACACACACACACACATATATATATATATATATGTATATATATATATTTGATTAATAATACTTCCATGCGTGTGAAGATTTAATTCTGTATGTAACCACTGAACGAGCCATTTCAGATAGATTTAGTAGTCACTTTACACGACAAAAGCTACAATCATCTAGTCATGCAAAACTTTGATGAATCAAAAAAAGCATCGAAGTGGACAATCACTACGATTACAATTTTGATAGAAGATGTTACACTAAAAAAAGTAAAACAATTAAAGTAACTTTAAAAGATTGAAAGAGGGCTAATCCAAGTTCGATATTGTTCTTCTATGACGTGATCAGTTCTTGACTGTACTTGTTGGCCCACAAATACGTAACACGTAAAGGTAAAAAAAACGTGGATGTTGGTGTCCCTTGAATTCACTTTCGACATGAGAATTAAACACTGAAGGGGTATATCTGTTTCACAGATGAAAAATACTCATTCATGATGAGGAAAAATTGAAGGACACAAAATATGACGTTTTAGGTGACGGAAAACTTTGGGCATTGTTTGTATTAAATGTTATGTCGGTTTGGTGTCAAATTTGCCCCATCTTTCTGTTGATGGGATGCAAAACCCTGCAAACGAGGGTATGTATACGTACTTGTTTTATGTTGGTTGTTGACCGCAACTTATGCCTTTCATATTAGGTTGTCTTATAAATATCATGCCAATAGTAACAAACCAGTGCACCTCGAGCTTGAGAGATTGCTGGTTTTTTTTTCATGAATTTTATATTTATTCCATACTAAACACTGTATTTATTAAAAAAGTATACGAAACTTATGGAATTTTTTGTAAAACAATACCAAGAAATGACTTAAATAGCTTAGGGTTAAGATTTTTTTTTTTTTTTTTTTTTTTTTTTTTTTTTGTATTTTAACCAGATATACAATAATAAATTTACCATAAAAAAACAATTATAAAGTTTAATGGATATATAATTTTAATATGATATATTTTTTTAATAATTTGTAACAATTTTTTTAATAGAAATCTGTTGTTTTAAAATCATATGTTTGTCCAACCAATAAAACCAAGACACATTATACTTATTTATATTTTAGATATACTAAAAAGGTACTCGTATACTGCAGCGAGATACATCTCGATTTTGATGTTTTGTTTTATTATTTTTCTCCGTCGATTTTATAGTACGGTTTTTTATGTGGTTTTGAAAAAAAATGATAATATTTTTATTTTTGAATAAAGTATAAATTTTAATATATCATAAAAACTTGAAAAAATATATTGAAATTAGTATCAAATTAACTATTTAAAAGTTCACATTCTTTTGTTAAATTTCTTTGATTCAATATTTTTTATTATAATTTAATTTAAGGTAATAATAAAGTAATTTATTTTTAATTTAATAATATATTTCTTTATAAATATAATAATTAAATATTTTGTTAAAACTCAATTATTATCCTTATTATATTTTTTTTTTTATAAACATGAAGACTTAATACGTTATACTCTTGTAATCTTGAATTTTAAGTAATGTGCATCAATAAACAATACTTCAGTATTTGATTATGTTTATCTACAGTTAGTTACACAGATTTAAACATAAAGCCTTAATAAGTTGTACTTACGTACAATTTACTTGTAATCTTGAATTTTAAGTAATACACATTAATAAACAATACTTCATACAACAAAAATGATTTTTAATAGTTTTCATCAAATATTTTATAATATAGTATATAGATTTAAATCAAATTCATTAATACATTTTTTATTTTATGGTTCTTTAATTACATATAAAATAAAGTTTTTTTTTTTTTGAAAATAAAAAATAACATAAAATAGCATTTTATTATGACAAAATAGGAGGTCATAATCAAAGATTAATGATTGAATGTAGGTAGTGATAAAGATGAAATAAAGAAAAAGGCAAAATGGACCAATCTTACAATCAAAATGTGTTATTGCATTATAAATGCCAACTATTTTGTTAATTCCTTTGATAAAGGGTATTTCTGTCAATTGTTAATTAATTATTTAATTTTATGTTTTTATGGTTTATAATTAATTGTTGTTTTCGTTAATCTGATCTACAATTTTATTGCTTCTCTTTCATTATATTTAATAATAAACCAACAAAGGATTAAAGATCATAGAAACAAAAACCATAGTATCAAAAATAAATGGACAGATCTTACAAATTTTTACAAACAATATGAACGAAAACCCTAATTTACTTTATAGAAAATTATTATATAATTGGATATGTTCGTTTTTTTTTTGGTAACGGTGGGTTTTGAGTCAGGTTACGCGCACTGACTAATCCCCTGGGTGACCACGAAGGGTTTGAAGTCATCGTAGATGAACCCTCCATAGCCACATTTAGGGGTGTTCATCCACATCGCTGAACCGCATCACATCGCATTGCAAAGTGTGATTTAGAGCTTACAAGGTGCAGTTTGCAATTTGCATTTATACCAAATCAAGCTCAAACTAAGCTCACTCATTGAAATTTATGAAATTTTAGGGTCTTCTCTTATAAATTTTAAAATTTAAAGGTGTTCTCTTAGTTTTTATAAAACTAAAGGGATCAACTTCAAATTTCATCATAAAAAAGACAAAGAAATTTCATTCACCTTCCTATATTTTTATAACATTTTTTCTCCCTTCCTTTACCATCTCTCTTCCAATGTGGGACAATTTCACCAACACTTTCATAGTTTTTCTTTGTCTTTTTTTGATTGTGATTTTAATAAAAAATAGTTGATTAATTTGTATTATTAAAAAATGCATGATTTTGTTTAAATATCTAAAAATATAAGACATTTTTTATTATTTATATTTTACAAATTTTATCATAAAAAATGATTATATTTTAAAACTAATTATATATAAAATAATCGAGTAACTCACGAGTTCTTCGAGTCGAGTATTGGGTAGCTTGACTCGACTCGTTATAATATGTCGAGTCGAGCTCGAGTTCGAGCCAAGCCTATTCGAATCGAGTTACATATGAGGATAGAGAGGATTAAATGCCAACCCTCATACCAATGCTCTTCCTACCATTAAATACCAACTTCAATACACACAATTCATCATAAATCCTCATTTTTATTATGGTTTTTCTCTTTAAAAATAAATATAAATGGATGTTTGGTTAGAGGTATTAAACAGTAATTAATGAGAATGAAAAATAAAAGACTGTTTGGTTTTTTATAATATATTCAAAAACCCAAAATTTTATTCCTGGTTAAACCGACGAGAATGAAAATTCATTTTCATGTTCATTCCTATTTTCATTCCTCAGCATTAGGCAAACATACCCTAAGTGTCTATTTTTCAGTATGATTCTTAAATCTTAATCTTGATATAGAAAAATTCCACACCCATAATTGTATGTGTCCTTTTCATCGTCTGCCATTTTCTTTTTGTTAACTATGAGTGTCCGGACTAGTTTGTATGCACCTCGACTAATCCCAAATAACTTAAAGAATGATAAAGAAATCACACTATCCTTACAAGACTAGAACCAAGGAAGAATCCCAAAGACCGTAACATTTATTTTGGAACAGAAAGTAGGAAATAGTTATTTTGTACGGATGACATCTGTTGTTTTTAGTCTTAAATTGGTTTAATATATTATGTGTAACAGTAAACTTGATTTCATAAATATTGATAATAAAATAACATTATAAACTGGTGTCATCTTTATATTAATTCATTCATATTTGCTTCCTTCTCTTTCTAAACACTCTCTCTCTCTCTCTCTCTCTCTCTCTCTCTCTCTCACACACACACACACACACACCATTTTTCATCAATTTTTGTGGGTGGCCCCAAAAGATCAAAACCCATCTCAAATTCCTGCATGAAATCATGAAATCTCAAGAAAATGGTGGTTTTAGATCTGCAGAAGAGGGATATGATTCAAGTTCTTCCCAAACTGAACATGTTTCAGTCCCTATTTTCATGGTTGGTTTTCATTTCCTTTGCCTTTTTTTCATTAAATCTTTCATTTTGATTTGTTATATATATAGACTTGGGATCACGTGAGACTAACCTTTTTTCGTGAGACCCGTGAGACAACTTTTTACACTTGAAACTTCACAGCAAAACGTTGTGAAGGTGTTTTTGCTGTGAAGATTCGGTTTTTTTCTACTTTCACAGTGTTTTTCTATGAAGTTTCAAGTGTAAAAAGTGGTATCACGGGTGTCACGAAAACAAGTTGATCTCACGTGATCCCAAGTATGTATATACGTCACGTTATTGTTAAAAGTTGTTGCTGATCAGGATGAAAGCATTTTTCAGTCAATTTAGAAACAAAATGACAACAATTATGTTGATGTAAAATCACATATTCAGCCATTAATTCTAATTATGTTTACAAAATATGGATGATATTGCTTTTGTTGATTCACATGAGTGCTTATTCACTAATGGTCAAACATAGTCCATAAGAAACTTTAGATTAAGAGGGTTTTTTTTTATTAACCTGGATATCCAACCCGCTATGCGAGATGATTAATCCCAGAACGATCACCTGCTTTGCAGATAGCCTGGAGTCACCGCATTTTAACCTCTGTGACCATAAGGGGATTTTTATTCCTCATTTGATTTGAACATGGAGATTAAGAGGTTTTGGAATAACTGAATTGGGAAATTGATGATGAAAATTGAAGTGGATCTTGATCTTTTACTTTATGGAGAAATTGATACCTTTAAAACAAATTCCCTACTTCTTGGATGAAATGTTACCCCTTTCCAATGCTACTTAAGACACTTCTTTTTACATAAAGACACTTTTGACTGCCAATTCAGACACTTTTTTTTAACTATAAAATTGAAGATAATAAAGGGTATTTTAAGTGGGAAATTCATATAAATAGTAATAAGCCAATAGGGTTTTAGTTTTTTACTCGTTTTTCTGGTCTAAATTCACTTTTTGGTTAATTTTTATGCAGAAGGCTTATGCATATGTTTAAGGATTGGTTTTTAGTCAAAAACTAATAAGAATCTTTATGCAGAAAGTGGAATCCTTACGCATAAACCACATTTTTTTTTTGTGAAAGCCGATCCTTACATATATGTTCAAGCTTTCTGCATGAGGATTGACTAAAAAATGAATTTGGGTTAGAAAATGGCTAAAAAGTGAAACTACATATTAGGTTTGGCTATTTATGTAAATTTCCCATTTTTTTTATTAACTTGGATATCCAACTCGCTATACGAGCCGACTAATCCCTGGGCGACCATCTGCTTTGCAGATAGCCCGGAGTCACCGCATTTGAACCTCCGTGGCCACAAGGTGATTTTTATTTCTCATTGGATTTGAACCTGAGACCTCCTGGTACTTTTGACATTTGGAGCCAAGCTCAAACCAATCAGGCACCACCATTGTGGTTGTGAATTTCCCATTTTAAGTGCATCATACAATGGATAACACCAAATTCATAAAAAATTAGTGTAAAATTTAGTGCAACCAATAAATCTACTACGATGAGTAACATCAAACTTACATCAAAATGTAATATTCTAGATATATTTTCTTTTTTATCTTTTCCTATTGATATAGAATTTTGTGTAAAAAATAGCGTTACATTAAATTTGGTGTAAGATTTGGTGAGTCATTGAACATCATCCAATAGAAACATTATCTTGGGGATGTAAACCAATGTTCAAAAAGACGAGCCATGACGTGCGTCATGTCGCGATATGGCGCAAGACGCGTCTCCGTCGTTACGAAATGACCCATAGCATTTCTGTAGACGTGACTCATGCCATGGCGCCTTGAGACGCGCCATGATGCGCCGCGACATGCGTTTTTTGTAAGACGTGACTTTTAAAAAAAAAAATCTTTTTGTGTTTTTATCTTTTTAATTTTAGATTTTACACTTTTATAGATTTAACGAATCACGTCATTCACAGTTTCACAAATTTATAAACTTTACAGGCTCACAATTAAAATGAAGTTGTAAAATTACCTTTCTAAGTGCTATTTTAACTATTTAATCAAAAACCTATTTTTATAATAATAATCTATATGATTTTCTTCTTCTAATATGAATGTACATTTTTTGATATCATTATCTAATTAAATAATATATAGAAAACATATATCTATATATGACATACAAATTTGTCGCTTTATATCACGTCTTAAAAAACATCAAGTACTCACCATGACGTCTAAGGCTTGAGACGTGACATTGCTGCCATACCGTGCCCCACGCGTTTTGAACATTGATAAAAAGCTACAACTTGCATTTTAGAAAGTATAGGGTTTCAAGATTTGTACCACTCATGACATTTCATTGGTAGGTAGTTGTCTTTTTCTTAGAGAGCTCCTGTAAGGAGTTATTTATCAAATATTTATTGGGTCAACACTTATCAAATTATTTATCTTATCGGGTGAGCATGACAGTTAACGTGAATCTTATCCAATAAGAAACATGAGGTTCTTACCCGTTAAGTGAGGGAAAAAAACTCTTATCCAGTTAATGTTTATTGGATAAGAGAAGCAATCCATTTTAATAGTTAAAAATGTTATCCAACAAGATAAGAGAAGGTGGATAGCAGTGAACACTTAGGAGCTGTTTACCCAAATGCTTACCCGGTAAGCGCTTACCTATAGGAGTCGACACTATAATTTATTTTGATGCGTAAGATTTTAGTAGATCAAAACATATCAAATGCAACAATTTACTGGGTAAACGCTTAACTGAGTAAGAGTCGTTATCCTCACTTACCGGGTAAGACTCTTCATCTTTCTTATCGCTCTTACCCAGTAAGATTCTTGGCCTTTCTCATGTTCATCCAATAAGGAAATTTATGCGTTAGACACTTACCAAGTAAGTGTTTAGTAAACGGCCCCTTACTCCATAATATATATATATATATATATATATATATATATTATATATCTATATATATATATATATTATATATATAGAATATGAAAGTGAGCTTGCTTTCAAATTATATATATTATCTGCATAATTAATGAAAGGCCTCTGATTACAGCTTTTAAGGGGTGATTGGAATTAATATATATTTAGTGGGCATATTTTGTGGGACTTGAAATTTAGAAAAAGAAGTCACTTTGTGGCTTTCATAAGCATCATATTCATATAATCTTCCTAACTGCCTTTTTTTTAGTGCACAATGATTTGGATTTGCATTAGTTTTCCATCAAATTATCCCAAATTAAAGTACCGTTTATGTGTTTGTCAGTAAAATTTAACACTATTGTTTATTTACCGGGTAAGATTTTAGTCCACCAAAACGACATCATATACAATAATTTACCCAGTGAGTGCTTACTGTGGTAAGAGTCATCACTCTCACTTATCAGGTAAGACTCATGGTCCTTGTCTCACTCTTACCGGGTAAGATTCATGGTCCTTACCATATTCATCCGATGAGGTAACGTGACTTGATAAACACTTATCCGAATAAAGATATATTTGTGAAAAAAGCAACAACTTTATTATGCCATACCTCATATTGCGTAAAGATTCTATATATTGTTTAATTTTTTTCAAAGTAGATTGGAGATATGGTAATTCCTTTATAGGATTTAAAGTGGGTGACATTTAAAAATTATGAATCGTAAACATATTACAATAAGTTGATATAATGTTTGTATATATTTTAATACGTTTTTATGAATATTTTTAAAATAAAATATTATATTAGTTTTTTATATGATATTTTTGACAAATATCATATAACACATCTTTTTATAAGACACTTGTTTTTATATAAAGATATGCTAAATGCACCCATACCTATTAATTTTTTTATCACAAACATTAACATTATAACTTATTTTTTACATTTATAATGCAGAATTTTACTTGATTATGACATAAATGGGTGCATATAGCAACACCGTTTATATAATGTCATATATAAAGACTAAACTCCAAAAGTGTCTAAAACACTTGTTAGGACGTCCAAAAACGACCCATCAACTTATTGCAGTATTTTTACATCGGATGCATAATTGTTTGGTAATACAAACTTAAATCCAATAAATCAGTCCAGTATGATTTTTAAACATATTTGACGTCCTATAAACCCAATTTCGATACAGTATTCTGGATTTATCTTTATCGGTTTTGATCGAGTAATCTTCATTTCTCTTGTTCGTTTTCAGGTTGAAGACGAAGTTTCAGGCAACGACCAGAGAGAACAAAACCTGGTTTTGGAGATACCATCAAGAACATTACAACCCTCTTCCTCTCAAGAATTTGTTCATATAAAGATGCCGCCAACGCCAACGCCTTCCCACAAGAAAGTGAATTTTAATCTGTTAGCATCACCCGACACTTGTTCATCACAAACCAAATCATCAAAGAAATCGAGTCTTTTACCAAAACTGAGTTTAAAGAACAGGAATACGATTTCAGATATCGTAATTCCAGCAGCCTTAGCTTCTATACCACAAGAAAAGCCATCAATCGCAAGATCATGGTCGCTTACAAAAATGTTAATAAAGATGACGCCGTCTCTACCTTTTGCTCTGATTGAACATTCAGATCGAGAGTCCGGATTGAGAAGAGCAGGCGGTTCGCTTAATTTGCAGGTCAGTGGATTGGTTTTTGGCCCTTTAGTTCTGTCATTTTAGTCATAAACAGCAAGTGAATAGATGAATGGAACCTATATTCACATGTGAATGGTTTCCTTTTTCTTTTCTGTGAATATCTGTAGACTAAAGTTCACGAGTGTATAGCTCGATCTCAATCTGTCCCGATCATCAATGAAAACACAAATGTCAAGAGAATGGATTCGTTTTTTCGTGTGATCCCCTCAACTCCACGAGCGAAAGATATTGATGCTAAAACATCGATCCCTACTTCTACCGATTATCATGCCGGTAATTCTCCGCACCGCAAGACAGATGTTTAAGTGTTCTAATAGACTATTTGACTTAGGTTTATAAGACCAAACAATTGTATATTATATATAAAGGTGTTACAATGTAATATTATTATATATTAAAGCATCCTACCAAGTTTTTAGGACAATTGTTAAAATAAAATGTCACCACAAGAAACAGGGGTTCTTGCGACGAATTTGTCGTCGTTAAAAGTCTATTTATGGTCATAGACCTTACGACGGCATGTTGTCGCTATAGCTTGTAGCTGAAGCATGTTATCGTTAACGACGCATCGTCAAAGCTCATTTTTCTTGTAGTGTCTTATTAGCTTTTTAAAAACGTTTTTGAGAAATATCATATTAACACATCTTTTTATACAACATATGTTTTTATAAGACACTTTTTTTAAATAAATATTATATAAAAAGACTAATAAAACGCTTTATTTTAAAATAATCCAAAAATACTTGTTAAGAATTTTTTGAACTTATTGTAACACTTTTACATGTGACACAATTTTATCTGCTCTTATAAACGTAAGTCTTGTAAATCAGTCTATTAGAACATTTATACATATTCAGTATCCAAATCTTTATTGCTTTTTTAGCTGTGTTTGCTGGTAACTGATAAACCGTTTGTTCTCTATGAAGATGATGGTGACGATATAGCTGAAGAAGAGGCTGTTTGTAGGATATGTTTGATCGAATTATGCGAAGGCGGAGAAACCTTGAAAATGGAATGCAGTTGCAAAGGCGAACTCGCGTTGGCCCATCAAGAATGTGCCGTAAAATGGTTTAGCATAAAAGGTAACAAAACTTGTGATGTATGCCATCAAGACGTTCAAAATCTACCCGTTACGCTTCAAAGAATCCAGAGTACGGTTAGACACCAAGATACCGGTGCAACCACGGTCCATGACGGCGACCGCCACATTGAAGTTAGCGGATACAAGTAAGTTTCAAACTTTTTTTTAATATAAATTTAGTACAACAAAATCGGATTTATAAGACGTTAAAAAAATTTAAGCGTTCTAATAAATTGTTTTATAAGACTTAGGGCCTGGTTGTTAGGGTTTAGGGTTGTTAGCAGTTAAATGAGCTTAATAAGACTTGCAACTTATTCAGTTATCTATAATGACGGTTTGATAATGTCTTAGTGATCGTGACTTATTCAATAAGCTTTTGAGAGGAAGCTTTATGCAAAATATCAAGCTTCTCCAAATCTGTCCCTCCAATTAAAAGATACTCTCCTTTCACTTATGAAAAAACATTCTTAAACAAAAATCTTCTCAATCTATACAGAAAGATTAATTCACACACACAACTTTATCTACAGAAGTTAATGAAAAACCAACCAAACAACCCCTTAATTTATAAGACAAAAAATAAAGCGTTCTTTCTAAAGACGTTGCAATAAGTTTATAGAATGTTTTTGGGAGTCGTTACAAGTTTTTAGAAGATTTTTATCAAAAAAATGTTGTATTATATCTATTTTACATGACATTACTTGAAAAAATGTCCTATAAAATAGATATATTTATAGGACACTTCTCAAAATTGTCCTACAAAAATAGTTGATGAAAATTTTGAATTAAAAGTATCCTTAAAAGCCTATTAAGAAGTCTAAAAGCATCATATAAGCTTATTACAACACCTTTAAATAAGATGCTTTGTTTTTTGGTCATATAATTTGTATCTTATAAAACAGTCTATTAAAACGCTTAGAAATTGTTAACGTCCTATAAACCCAATTTTGTTGCAATGAATTAACGTCTAGTTTTAACATCTAATATCGACATTACTTTGATTTGGGCAGTGATATCTATAGGGTGTGGCAAGAAATGCCGGTTCTTGTTATTGTTAGCATGATTGCATACTTTTGCTTTCTTGAGCAACTTCTGGTAAAGATTTATACCAATTTTACGTGAAATTTAGTCCGATTTAAACGAATTTACTTCGCAAAAATACCCTTTTCGATTAAATTCATGTTGATTAAAAATATTTTCGTTGTGAAGGTTGGGAAGATGGGTACAGGTTCAATTGCTCTGTCAATTCCATTTTCATGTGTTTTAGGTCTTCTCTCAACCATGACTTCTTCTGCTATGGGTAAGTTATCTACCTCAACAAAAACATGAAACAAAAAGCATAGCAATCTTGGAAAAAATACAGTGTAAAGTAAATTCTGTAAAAATATTCATCTTTTTATCAGTTATAGGTTAAAGTTATCAGGCTTGTAAAGTGGATTCTTCGATACACAAGTCCCATCTGTATTTTTTTTGTAACGTGGGTTATATAAACAAGATATGCTATCAAATCTCAGTTTAGTGGGGCCTACAGGTCAAATTAATTATTGACTTTTGTCTTTTTATTACAAGTAAACAGATGTTTTTAAAGTTTATACGAAAGATGAAAGTACTGAACTTTATAAGAACATGAATTTAGTCACTGAATTCTTGAAATGAGAGATTTTAAAAGTTGGTTTCTTGAAATAAGAATTGAAACAACGTTGAATCCAATTTAATGCAAATTGCACTACGATGACTCATCATTTACATTAGTCTTGTCTCTATTTCTCGTTAAATTAAGTAAAAAGGACACATTACCTTTTACCACTTTCATATATTTCGTCGTTTAATGATTCTGAATGTTTTTGTGCACAGTGGAACGGAGATTTGCATGGTTATATGCGTCAATTCAGTTCACATTTGTGGTAGTTTTTGCACATATATTTTACTCCATGGTAAGAAGATTCTCTAAATTTACATCAGCCTTCGACGAAAACGACTAAAAGACGATCATAACCACTTTTTTTATTTTATATCTCAAAAAACCAGTTGTAGTTGTATTAAAAAGAAAACGTTATGATTTCACATCAAAAACATACTATCATGTGACAATCTTTTGTATGGCATGTAGGTTCACGTTCAGCCGATTTTATCGATTCTTCTTGCAACGTTTGCTGGTTGTGGGGTTGCAATATGTGGTAGGTCCATTATTGTGGAGGTCTTGAGGTTGAGAAGATGGTGGCACGACAGATCTAATCAACAACATGATTCTTTGAGTGTCGAAATCGCACCACCATCAGAAACTCCACTTCCATCACTACCGCCGCCGCCGCCACCATCCTATATAGCTTCTCCGGATGTTCTTTTGTATGTAGAACCACAACATGATCATGTCACATCATTATCATGCCCCCCGCCGCCGCCACCACCACCACCATCTCCCCCTCACTGTACGGAAAACCATAAAACTTCGAGCTTATAGAATGAGTTAAGTTGGCTTAATTTGTGTTAGCTTTGAAGAATGGGGATTTCATAACTTCAGAGAAAATAAAGGATTAAAATGTGATATTGACCATGCAAATTGTATTCCTGATTTTTAAAGTATGAGTTCAGATTTAATGTGTTTCTTCAGTTTGGTTTGATTTATGGGTTGAATTATTTGTATTAGGGGTGACAATGAGTCAGGTTGGGTTGAGTTCGGGTTCAACTCATTTATTAAACATGTTAAAAATCTTAACCCAACCCAACCCAATCAATTTAATTAAATGGGTTGAGATTTTTCAATCCAATCCAACCCAACCTGTTACTTAAATGGGTTGACAGTGGGTTGACCTGCTTACGATTTTCTTAACTCAACCTGTTAAATAAATGGGTTGAACCCGAGTTGACCCATTTAATTTTAAAATTTTAAATAAAAAAAGAACTAGACTATTTAATTTTTTTAATAAAACACAATCGCAAATACAAATAAATTGTTCAAAGTTTGAATAAAACACAACCACAACAAATATATTGTTCAAAATAAGTTGGATTGTACTTTGGAGACGATAATAGAGTAATGGACTAAAATGTTTTCTTAGGGTTTTATGATGATTCAGAGTAATGAAGGGCATTGAAATTTAGAGTTTCATCTTACGATGGTAAGATTTATAATTAAGAATAAAACAAAATTAAAAATTAGAATACTAAACATAATATTAAGAATAAAATAAAATTATATAATATTTTAAATGAGTTGAAAACAGATTGAAAAATTCAACCTAACCTAACCCATTTATTTAATGAGTTAGTCGGATAGACCCATTTATTTAAATAGGTTGAAAATCTCAACCCAATTAACCAACCTGCTAATTTTAAGGTAGGTTTGAGTTGGGTTAACGGATTGAGTCATTTTTTTCAACCCCTAATTTGTATGATATTTACTATTTATTCTCGAACTTTAGATAAAATTTCAACCACATTTTTAATAATAACAATTTTAATCGTTTAATCCGACAGTCATTAAAACTCTCATATTTTTCACTTTTCTTAATATTTTCTATTAATATTTTATCTAAAAATAGAGATGAACATCATTTTTTTTATATGCTAATATACCAACCAATTACAATTGATATGAAATTTTTTATATCATATATCACAATTATATTTGATACCAATTAAATTGGTACCAACTTTTTTTCAGTTGGTACATACGGTGTTGTACCAACATCATAAAAATTAAAGTTAAAATTTTATTAATTAAACTTTAATTGAATAAATAAATCCATTCAAAATTGTTATTTATAGTAGTCGCTTGATGTTCACGGTTATTTCAAGGGGCACATAGAGATTTGGTTCCAAAAATGGAGGAATCGTCCCCCAATCCGTTTGTCTCTCTTTCCTTCCACTGAATCTCTATCTTACTGACAAACAAAGGCGTCGCCGCCGGCCAACAATCCGCCGCGAGTCAGCAAAGGAGGGATATTATTTATGTATATACTGAATCCCACCAAGATAGCCTCTCGATTTCCTCTCTTAAACCCTACTCGAGGTGCTCTTCCATCATACTTTCGTTTCAAAGTTTAACTTTTTCTACTATGGGATTTGTTGTTTTAATCCTCAATTTGGGATTCACTTCTTATGGGTATACGTTCAGGTGTATGCAAGCTTGGATTTCCGACAATTCTTCAACAGAACAAGGGACTTCGAGGAGGAACGATAAGAAAAATGGCGTGGAGTTTGGAGAGATGCGATGAGGGTATTGAAACTAGGTCTGGGATCGTTCGACCTGCGACGGAGGTTTATGCTGATGAAGCGATTGAAGCTTTAAGAGCTGGAAAGGTTATAGCTGTCCCCACTGATACGCTATATGGTTTCTCTTGTGATGCTTGGTATGACATTTTCTTTGAATTTGTGGATGTACTCTACATGTTCGACGTTTTGCTTCAATGAATCAATTACAAGTTTTAGATGGTAATTGTATATTATTTGGGTTGGAAATCTTGATCGCTCAATGATTAATTGCTAATCTTAGCAAACTCCACGAATCAAATGACAGCAAACAGGCCCTTGATCAGTAAATATTTCAAGCATTAAATGCTACTAAAAGGTCCAATAATCAGTAAACATTTCAAGCATATAGCAACTTCAGCTTATAGTATTATGTGGACATTTGGTGCAGTTCTGTAGAGGCAGTTAATAGAATATATGAAATCAAAGGGCGCAAGCACACTAGCCCTTTAGCGATCTGTGTTGGGGATGTAAGTGATATAGGACGGTTTGCGGTCACAGACCATCTACCTCCTGGCTTGCTTGAAGGTCTCCTTCCAGGGCCAGTAACTGTGGTGCTAACAAGAGGTCTGTATTTCCTTCATTTGTGTTAAGGAAGCCATTCTCTGCAGGCCCTATTGTAATTTCATACTCCCGCTGCCCCGTAAATATTGCAATACTTTTCTTTTCAGGCTATCAAAAAAAACTGCAACATTTCCTTATTTGGGAAGTCCAATTATCTATTTGCATGTTATCATCTATAATCTATTGGCTAGAGATGGCTATAACTTTGTTTCTTTTCAGGAGAATCGAGTATTCTTGAGAAGTCTTTAAACCCTGGATTAGATAGCATAGGAGTTCGAGTACCTGACTCTGACTTCATCCGGATGATTGCCCGTGGCTCTGGAACTGCACTGGCCCTGACTAGTGCAAACCTTAGCGGACTACCAAGTAGCGTAGACATCAAAGATTTCAAGAATCTGTGGGAAAACTGTACATTCGTTTATGATGGTGGTATCCTTCCAGCAGGCCGTGCAGGATCAACCGTTGTGGACCTCACTATGCTTGGAAAATACAAGATTTTGAGACCAGGGAGGTAAGATTTGAAATCTAATATCTGTTTTCATTGTTGTCCAGAAGAGCCTACTGAATACATTTATACATGCTTTACCAATCAACTTGCATGCATAGTCGTTGCTTTGAATACCAAACCAAACAAACTCTATATATCTCACTCGAACGCAGGGTATAGGGGTAGGATTTTCGCATACAATTTCTCCATCCCAAAGGATACAGATAGTTGTTGCTTTGATTCTTTTTACATAATTGTGAATTTGGTATTGGATGAAAACAAAGATAGCCTAGTTCCTTTTTATTATTGGAATACCAATAGAAAAGGCTTTGCATTACTTCTTGTCAGTCTTATTACATAACTGTCTACTAGACCCGTAAATCGTTTGCACACACACACACTTATAACTTGTTCCCTTGTTTCGGTTAATTTTTGTTTTGCACGCAAGGGGTCTTCAGATGGTTTACTTCTAAGGACAATTTACTGGGTCCGTTTGGTTTGGTTTTATGCTTTTATGTGGAATCATTGTTTTCCAACAAACTTGGATCGACAAATCAGTAAAGGTTTTGAGTATTTGTTGTGTTATGTGGGCAGTGCCAAAGAAGAGACCATTTCAATATTGGAGAGGCATTCTCTAGTAGAAGCAGGAGAGCCAAATGCAAAATCTTGAAGAGTTTGACTTTGGTCAAGGTACCATAACTAATACAATTTCATGATGTTATGTTTGTTAAATATGTTGACCACTGGTGTGAGGTCAAAGACATGTAGAATATGCTGTTGAATTAGCATTTAGCAGACACCATGTTCATCATCTTCTTTCGAGGAGATGAAAACATAATCATTTGAATGGAAGGAGAGTTTGCAGCCAAGTTTGTGGCATTTATTCATGTCATAAGAAGGTAAAGAAAAGTGAGGTGTTGATGTATTATTCTGTTCTTGTTTCTTTTTAATATATTTATCGTATTATTGTGATTTTTTTCGTTTTTCTCGATTCTATTGATCAAATTTGTGTGTTTAAGAAAAGCGAGTCTTCTGTTGATTATCGGTTTCTGTGAAATATTTTGCCGTATTATTTTGATATGTTATTTTTCTGAAACATGATATATGTTGATCAGGAAAGATAAGTTATCTTTTATTCATTCTACCACCGAGAATTTTTAAAATTAAACGTTTAGAAGGAAAATAATGTTTTATGAATTATATTGAATATTATAACAATAATTGTATTGTAATATCTAAAATGTAGAAGATTTTGACTTTTTATTCTTCATTTTAGGGAAATTTACACAAAATAGCTATTTCATAAATTGATTTCACATTCTAGCTATTTTAGGAGCCATTTTTCTTAAATAGCCAAAGGTAACAATAAAACTTTATGTAGAAGGATAGTTTTTGCGTAAAGTTTGTTTTCAGGCCAAAAGAAAAAGAAAAATAATTTAAAACCGCGTACAGTTTTTTTATTAACCTGGATATTCAATCCGCTATGCAAGCCGACTAATCCCAGACCGACCACCTGTTTTGCAAATAACCCGGAGTTACCACATTTGAACCTCCGTGACCACAAGAGCATTTTTATTCATTTTTGCATTTGAACTTGGGACCTTCAAATACTTTTGATCTTTGGAACCAAGCTTAAATCAATCAGACACCGTTCTTGTGGTTTGTAAAGTTTGTTTTCAGGCCAAAAGAAAAAAAAATTAAAAAGGTAATTTGGGCGGGAAAAAAAAACTTAAAGAAAAATAGTAAAGTTGTTGTAACATTTTAGAGAATAAAAAGTTAATTTTTTTCTATTTTAAAGAAGCTATTAAAGATTGCTATTACAAATGATAAAATGACAATCAATATAATACACGAATCAATAATTTCAGCACCCCATAAACCAAATCCGAAATCTACAACAAACCAAAATTTACCAATCATCTAAACATAAAAAATAAATAAAATTCAGATTCAAAAGCGGGCATATATGCTTCCTTTAAGGCGCCATAAAGAGAGTAAAGTAATGCATGCTTTTGGACCAATCCAACTGAAAAAATGCTTTTAATTTGCCCCCCTACAAATGGAAGCAAGAATTTCATTTCAGGGGTTTCATTTTGAGTCTTTGAAGGAAAAAAGACTGACAAATTCTTTATCGACATGGAAGAATCAAGAATGAATGAATGACGGAAGTCTTATAACCATCAACTACGATCATCATAAAGAATTTGATGATGACCATACCAAGATAATGATAACATGAAACAATAGCATAACAACAGAAATCATCAAGAAATAAATCAAAGCCATTAATATTCAGATTATCATTTATGTTTAAAATTTGTTATTAGGATGATCATCACTTGATCAATTTGATTCTATCATGAACGCACAATTAACAATGATGATCATCTCTAACTAACAACTCGGAGTAGCGGAAAATTGTTATTGGCATGTGAAAACGACGCTATGAATGTTTAATCGTATGATATGATACTTTGAATCTGTAGATCTAGATCTATGTGTAGTGATGTGTTCCAACTCAAATTCGAATTTCGAAACTTATCTACAGGAAATCGCTTCTTGCAGCGTAACTGTACTGCGCTCGTCGAATATTCTGTTGGCGCTTCCGGTACAGAATTCCACCAAATCCAACGAAAAACGCGGCAGCGATCACTCCAAACGCAACCCCTGCCTTCTTCCCTCCGCTCATTCCTCCAGGAGACGAGTCCATGGTTTCGTCAATATTCTTCACATCAGCGGATATATCACTAGCCTCAGACGGTGACGGTGACGGTGCAGAGAAATAAGACGGCGATGGCGCCGGAGAAGAAGACGGAGGCGAAAACACATCCAATGACGGAGACGGAGACAGATCTGACGGTGGAGGCGCAGGTGGTAAACCAATTGAAGGCGAAGGGGATGACTCGGGGACTGACGGTGAGTCATCTGAACCTAGTTGTGGAGCGGGAGACGGCGAGGGTGAAAATTCCGGGTTATATGAAGAAGAAACGGCGATGGTGGATAGAAATGCGAAGGCGAATAGGGGAAGGAGTCGGTTGATCGCCATTGTTGTGGAAGTGCAAGAATCGATTGAAGCAAGATTTGTAGATCCAGTTTGAAGTAAAGCGATTGAAGAAACGTAGAAAAGAAGAGATTGAACGTGAAAGGTTTTTATCAACCGCCGTCGGTTTGGGCAACGACGTAAAGGTGACAGAACCTCTGGCGTTGACAATTCACCTTTTAAGTTATGTTTTTAGTCCTTATGATTTATAAATTGTGGTTTTAGTCCCTATAGTTTGTAACTAATTATCATTTTCATCTTTATGATTTTACAATTTTTTGTTGTTCCAATCCCTATGGTTTACAATTATTTACTGTTTTGGTCCCTTATACTTTAAAAGTAGGAACTAGTTCAGGAACGAAAGTAACAATAAATTGTAAACCATAGGGGTGAAAATCATAATTTTCAAAGCATAGAACCGAAAATAGAAATTATCAACAAATCAGATGCACGAAAACCGTAATTTACTCATTTTCCCCCCTTATATGGGGACTTCGGATGTCCGTATAATATTGCTTTTTAGACCAAAGTTTGTGAAAAAGAAAAAAACATCATGGTTTTTAATAATTTGTTTTGTTATGTTTATGACTCGTAATGACATGTGATTAAGCTAAGAAAGTCTTGTGAAAAACACAAATAGTGTGTGTGTATATATATATATATATATTAAAAAAATCTTCTTTTTTAGCAGTTTTTCTTATCTTTTTACTGATAATTGTAAAGATCTCATCTTTTATATAAAAGTTTCGCCCCTTTTACGCAGACTGAAGACGGCAGTATATGGATCACATCATTATATGCAAAGAAAATGGCTTTATTGGTATACCGTTTATCATGAACGATCTCATAATTTTTGGTGTAAAAGACTTTATTATATGAGTATTTAATCAATTTTAGGGAGATATAATGATTTGTTTTGTCATATCACACTGGCCATAATATTTATAAAATAACACTTTTTTATTTTTGCAGTTTTGAAATTACAAGATGATAATCGTGGTTTGTAAAAACGTTCGAATTTGGTTTATTTTCTCTAAGGACCGCCAAAGAAATTTGTTGAATGAGTGGCATTTTCTTCCTTTTATCGATTTTCTTGTTTTTTATCCATTTAAAAATCACAATGACTAAAATCATAAAATCGATTTTGAATGCATAAAAGACAAAAAAAAAATGGATAAAATGATGAAAATGTGCTTCAGTCTTGGGGAGGGACCAAATCAGAACGTTTTTACAAACTACAATGGTTATCTTGCAATTTCAAAACTTCAGGGACTAAATTTGTAGTTTACTCATGTATTTATGATAACATGGGGGTCCAAATTGAAAAAACTAGAATACATGAGGGAAATAGTGAAACTTTATCCTTCGGGAAAAACCAAAAGCGGTTGGTTCCTTGTCACTCCTTATTGGTTGTTCGCCGAATTTTGCCAAATCCACTTTTATCATAGATTCGATTTCACTTATTTTCACACAGGCGAGAACCGCCATGGCCAGCATCCTTGCTCAGGTCAGCTTCAGCTCACCCATACGCTCTCTCTCTCTGTGTATATATATATATATGTATGTGTGTGTATGTACGTATTTTTATATATGTATGCCGTATGTAAGCGGTACAGGATTGATCATTGTTTTTAGAATGGTGTTAAATAGGAGCGTCTACTTGGCGCTGTCCTGGGAAGTGCATTCGCCGGAGTTATGATCTTTGAGCAGCGCAGAGACATCTACAAGACAATTGCACAAAATCAACCTAAATCCGAGGTTATATTTAGATGATCTCAAATTTTGGTGTGTATTAATTGTTTTGTGCTCAATTTGATTTAGTTGAAATTGGTACCATCACTCGTCAATTATCATATTCCTGTATAGCGAGGGAGTCCGAAAATTGGGTTTTTGGTATACAATTTGCTTAAGTTGCCATTTTAAGACGATCAATTCGTTAATAGGGCCATTCTATTCTGTAAATGGTTAGCGTGCTTTCTATGGTAGTTTTATGTATGTTTCATTTTCTTTCTTATGGTTAATTAATACTCCGAACTGTTTGCCTATAATTCATTTGGTTTGCTAAAGCTTTCTATAAGTTGTTATGCTACCCGCTACTGGGATCGACGTCACACGAACACATGGTAAACTACAGGTATCTGAAATTTTGGACATGGTATTTCTATATATGGTTTTAGTCGTTTCTGGGATGTTTGTTAGGAATTGGGGGTTGGAGGTGATTTCTGGACCAGATAGTCTCGTTGAATCGTGAAAATTCATCTTCCAAATACAATAATTCGTCACTTACAGCCTTAGGTGTCACGAATTTTGTATTGGGATAATCTAATAGGAACTCTTATCTCAAAGGGTGTGAGATCGAGTCCTTAAATAAACACAAATTCCCGGTTACATATTTATATGAGAGATCTCCGGTTACCAGCGGTTATAACTGCTAGGCCAGATAATATTTGGGAGCAGTTAGAACTATATTAGAATCGGAAGAAATGCCCAGAACTCTGTTCCTCGGTCCAGAGTTTTGACTCTAAGGTCTAGAGTTCTGACTCTAAAGTCCAGAACTCTGCTTGCTCTATCTCTGCCCCTTGTACCCTGCTAGGGGCGCCGCCCCCTTCACCCGTGCTTTATGGTGATCTCAGGTGATAAAGATAACATTTATGAGTCTGCACTCCGCACTTCCTAACTCACTTATGTTTGCCTAATCACCTAATAAATCTCATGTAAATCATAATCACACTAAATTAATTGATAGACGCTAAAATCACCAACAATTTTGTTATTGTCAAAAGCTTTAGTAGTATAGTACAAAGAAGAGAGAGTTGAGATCTGAGAGTTTGATCCACAAAGTTTCCAATGTAAAGTCTAAAATTAGGTTCCATAGCAAACATCTACAAAGTAAAATAAATGTGAGAATTTAAATATGCCCACTCTTTATGAAAACATTGGCAACCTACATATAGGGAAAAAAAAATGGAAGACCAAATATGTACTCCAAGTTCTTGTTCTACCCCATGTCGGGCCAAACGTGAAACAATTAGTTTTTGTTTTGTTCCATGTCTGACTGAGTTTTTTTTTTCCTGTCTGGTCCCATGTACCGAACGCAGCCTTTATGATCTAATTGTAGTAGTTAAATATCAATGACTGGCATCAAAAGGTTCTTTAGAAATTACTCCCTCTATATAGAATTTGTATTACCTGGAACACTAGCCATCTTTTTGTTTAAACAGATATGAGATTATTGCAAGGGAAGGCGGTGTTATAAGGGTTTCATAGATTGACAATTGTCCTAGCTTCTGATGAAAAAATTCTTATCTAATTGAGAAATCAACCAACTGATGCAAGAATTTTTGTTATCTAGACTTAATCGTATACTAACATGTGAAGTGTGAGACTGGTATATTAAGCTAGAATGTTGATGTGTATGTTAACTATTACTCGAGATCAGATAAATTCAAGAGCAAACTTTGGTGTTCCTGAAATGCTGTCTCGAATTTGAATAACCAAACCAAAATTATATGTCATGGTAGAGTCTGTATTTTTAGAGACAGGGAGGATATAAATCAAATCTGAGTAGATGATAGAAAAGTATAGTGTCGGTAAAGCCGAGTTGGTAAAATAGTTGGTTTGAACAGCTCAAGGCTGAGTTCGATTGGGGACATCTGCCGTAGCTAGTTTCATTACTAGTTTATGCTTTGCCTTCCTGTCAGATTTCTTTTTGCTGCATAGATGAATTTCATAAATGTATGACCTCCAGTCTTCCATCAGTTCCATGGTTAAAGTTGAAAGATGTAGAGTTTGATGCATAGGAGTAGTAACGTCGTTTTCTTTATTGATGCTCAAGTTTTTATCTTGAACAGATGAAAGAGCCTAATTGTGGAAATAAATCTCGATTTGAGTTTGGGCATTATTGGAACAAAGCAGTGGATCAGACTTTTGGACCAGCAATCCAGATGCTTAGCTCGTGACGATGGTAGGGATGCATTACCATTACAAAATCGATACAGGAAGACGTTTTGATTCATGCTTGTAAGAGCTATATAAGCAATGGCCTTCCTGACATTTTCACATAGTGAAAGCCACCCAGGGCTGTGTCATTAATATCTGGCCATATATTTGCCAGTTCCATGGTTAAACTTTATCAGTTCGTTTTTTTGTTTCAGACTATCGCCAATCAAGTCTTTCGATGCAAAAATTACCATTGTTCCTATATACGGAGCATTTATATACAACATAGATAGATTTAACTGGCTACTTTAGTTAATTTCTTGTTAGAAAATTGTTTAATGAGCACACGACATACTGATCTAGATTTTTTGCACTCTTGTTATTTGGTTGTGCAGATCTTGATGCTGATACATTTTATGGTATGTCATTCAAGTGATCCTCTTTATGCATTGTAATTTATAACCTTTGCTTCATGTAACGAAGGTAAGAAAGACGAAGCTAGTTCTGCATTACATTTCTTCGGTGCTCTTTAGGTCATTGGGTATTTTTTAACTGTTTTACCTCCTGTAACTATAACTTGCTTTAGCTTTAGGATGACCAGTTTCAGAGACATATAATACAGAACTACATGCATTAATTACTAATAAAGATGTTACATTTCGTATTCTAAAGTTACAAAAGAAGTGGGAAGTGACAGAACAAATAGATCAGAATCTACTAAATTATAGGCTCATCTTTAAGCACATCAAGCGGATGGTAGAACTGTATTTTTTCGTCTTGAGTTGGTTCGACGAGTGATCACCACATAGTAGGTACCCATAGCTAGGAGAACCACGAATACAAACCCAAATATCACACCAGCAATGCCTCCGGCTCCAACTTTACTCCCATTCTTCTCGTATCTCGATCTGCTTTCCTGCGCTAAGCTCGATTGCACTGTAGCAGCTATGGGAAATGGTGCGCAATTGGACCCATCACACGGGTCTTGAATGCTTGGTGGCACCACTTTCGGGTGGAAGAAATCGTAGGCGGATGGTGAGAAAGCCATTGGGTTCTCGTGGGCGAGTCCATGAGGAGCTCTATCTTGAGCTCTATTAGTAGTGAAGGAAATAACAGTAACAAAGAGAAGTAGTAGGAATTGGATTTGGGTCATTCTGAGTTTCTTGATGTTTTTGTGGGACTCAAAATGGCTAAGAATGTAGCAGTATCTATTGGTATTGTGATGTGGGTGGTCTTGGGGTGGTATTTATAGAGGTCTTCTTGGTTTATTGGTGGTTGCCTTGCCCTTAGTTTTTGTGAAAGCATTGAACTCTTGAAAGGGGAGCAAAATGATGGCCATTGGTTCTACTATTTCATCCATGATAACTTAGTGGCTATTTGTCTATACTACCCCAGCTGGCTTTTCCATGTCAAAATCTTATGTTCCTTCCCAATAGGATGTCTCTTCTTTGGTGTGCACACTGGTGCGTTTGGTACGCGGATGAGACTGGACAAGATAGGACAATACAGTACAGGCAATGGTGAGGTAAGGGGTGAAAGAATTCTACAAGGTTCTAGGGTTTTAATTTGATATGGGTAATTTAGTAATTTATCAATATTGTTCAATCTCAATGCTATTTGTTCCACATGTTTTGGTGGAACCGTAAAAATGCATTTTTGTCTCACGCATGTCATGTCATATCCCATTCTAATGTCGCGTCAAACATGGGACAAGTTTTGTATGGTTTTGTCTCGTCTTGTCCCGCATACCCCTCAATTGTAGTGTCTCCCTCTGTCTAGGTGGACTGTCTCAACATCAATTGCTTACAGGGTGTTGTTGTATGCACCCCCATATATGTCAGAATCAGATCAAATCATGAATTGAAAATGTAAAAAATGATATTTGATATCGATGTGTGTGAGTAGGAAATTAGTAAGTAATGGTGCATTTAATCCAACCCCTTGCTCATACATAAAAGATGACAACATGACAGATATGAAGTGGAGACATCCCTCGTGCCTAACTACTTAATTGTTGTGGCAATGCAGAGACGGTAAACTAAGGGTACGTTAAATGCACACCTACATGCTAATTTCCACCTCACACACATCAATATCAATACTTACGATACGATCAGATTTTGACATAAATAGATGTGCATATAGCAGTAGCTGTAAATTAAACATGATTAACTGTTAAGACAAGTTGTGTAGTAAAGTATCGAATTGTGGTATAATTATTATTGAGATGATTATAATTTGAGTTGAATTATCCCAGAGGAGGGAAAGTGAAAAGCAATGTGGAGAGTTTGCTTAGCTTAAAGGGCCAGCAAAGGTCATGATCCAAATAGTATTCTAAAGGGGTAAGGATTCATGTCATATGTGTGTATGTAATTATAATGTCATTTCCTTTCTTTTGGCTTTTTGTCTTATTATTATTCACAGGGTGGGAACCTCAAAATCAATGCCTTCTTCCTTTACTTCCCATTTACAACATTGTCAAAGAAATACAATCACTTTATTTTTTCAGGTAAATAACTGAACAGGTTTGCATATATTTTACCATCCAAACTCTACTTTCTAATCAGATTTACTGGCTTAACTTGGTTTTGTTTGATTTGTTTATCTGATAAATTTTGTTCTTGGATTTTTTTTTTTGATTAACCTGGATATTCAGCTCGCTATGCGAGCCGACTAATCCCAGGGGGACTACTTGCTTTGTAGATAGCCCGGAGTTACTGCATTTGAACCTCCGTGGTCACAAGGGGATTTTTATTTCTCCTTGGATTTGAACATGGGACCTCCTGGTACTTTTGATCTTTGAAACCAAGCTCAAACCAATCAAGCACCACTCTTGTGGTTTTCTTGGATCTTTACAAATGTCTTATGATCTGTTATCAAATCATGTGTATCCAGTGTCTTACTTGCAGGAATTAATAGAAGACTTAAAGCATTAAAAATGAAATTATTTTTATTCGGTTTTGAAAATATATATTTTTCTTTCAAAAAAATTGGAAGAAAAAATTTATTTTCAAAATGCAACATCTATAATCTAAAAGAATTTATTTAAGGGTTAGTAAATTATGCGTAAATACAATTGATTAAAGCTTCATGATTGAATTTATGTAACTAACTACAAATAAACATAATAAAATAGAGAATAAACATCTCATTTTAAATATCAAAAATCTAAAAATATAATTAGAATAATCAGGGTTTTAACAAAATATTTAATTATTATCTTTATAAAAAGTTATATCATTAAACTAAAAATTAAAAAAAATAAATAAATAAATTACACAAAAAAACAAGAAATTTTAAATTGTTAGTTTGACACTAATATTAATATATATTTTTCAAATTTTTATGATATCTTCATATTTATATTATATTCAAAAATAAAAACATTATCTTTTTTTCAAACCACATAAAACCATATTATAACATCAACTGAAACAAAAAAAATACTAAAATCGAGATAATTCTCGTTGCATTACGCAAATACTCTTCTATTATCTTTAAATGTGTTTTTTGAAGAAGAAAAAACGTTCAAATTTTTAAGAAACGTCAATTTTTTAATATGAATTTGAGTTGTTGAAAATAAAAAATCAAATGAAAATACTTTTAGTTCTTATGTAATTTACTCAATATAATATGTATTTTTTTAAAGGAGTTTGTAATAAATTTAGGGATTCAAAGTTGAACATTAAATGAATACATGGATTTATGGTGGTGGTGTGGTCATTCAACATTTGCACCAAAACAATTGATTGATTCACAAGATATGTGCTCCAATAAGCTAAAATCAAATGATGAGGGTGGACATTTATGCATCTACATACACATTTACTTAATTGTATATATAACTGTAATTAGATTTAAATCAGATAAATTTATCAGATTCCTTTTATCTGACAATAAGTCGTGAAAGGAACGATGTAGGGGTCCAGAGCTTGATGGTTAGGCCTCTTAGCTCGTTTGAGAGTTGCTTCTTGTTGATTTCATGGCTTTGGTTTTGGGGATTTTGGTCGAATTTTGTTGTTTCATCCCGTTTTGTTTCTCCATTAGCTTTGTTTTTTTTTTTTTTTATGTTTTTCTGTTGTATTCGTTTTCCCGAGTTGTTGGTGTCTTGTGTGACCTTTGATTGCTCTCTTCACTTTGTGCTCGGACGTTCTCGATTGTTGTTTGATTTGTGTTAGTTACGCGTCTTACAGAAGCTTTGTTTCTCTCTCTTATTTTAATTGAAGTTGTTGGCCTTTGAAAAATATATATAATTATCTATACTATCTTATAAAACAGTTGACTAAAACTCTTAAAACTTTTAAAACTTTTAAAAATTCCTAAACTTGTTCATCCCTATTCGATTTCATCCCATATCTGAATTCGTGTAACTAATTACAGATAAACACAATCAAATACAGAATAAACATCTCATTTTAAATATAAAAAATCTAAAATATAATTAGGATAATCATTGAGTTCTAACAGAATATATAATTATTTTCTTTATAAAAT